TAAGGGGGGAAATAGGGCTATCTGAGGGGACAAAGAAGAGCAGCAGGCTCGAGAAGCAAAAATGCAGTGGGAATCTTGAGATCATTTGATATTTACTCTGACAACGGTATATGTACACGATTGAGTTTGCAATTGGGAACCCAATGTGTAGCCATGCCACTCCATGAGGCCACTTCTATCCGCTGATAGAAGCAGCTGGTGACTGCCCTATGGGCACTTCTATAAGCTGATAGAAGAAGCCTTGTGATGAGGCATGGCTGCCTGTAGGGAGCTCCACAAGGCCGCTTCTATCAGCGGATAGAAGTGGCTGGTGACTCTGCCCTCAGGGCGCTTCTATTGCCCGATAGAAGCGGCCTTGTGGCGAGGTGAGTGCGTGTGTGGTACTCTAGGTGAGGGCATGCATGGGGAGAGGAAATTAAGTCACCCCCCAAAAGATGGCCTAGCCGTTTTTGGGGGGCTCAAAAAAAAAAAAAAAGGCCCAGCCTTATTTTATGAGAAACATGGTAGATTGGCTTAAAGTGAGTTTCCCTAGCTGGACAGACACTTAAGCTAAGATCTCCCCAATTCTACAGGGACCTTTGAACCACTATACCATGAGGGTTTTTCACTCAACCACAAAAATGTTGCAGCTTCTATTAACATTTTTCCATCTTTAAATAGGAGTTTGGTTGGAAGCTGAACAGAGTTTGATATAAGGTGGGTGTCTATATAAAAGTTATAAACAAATTATATATAAATAAACCTGACCACTGAATTGTCCTTTTTAAAGAGTGCTTATGCCTTCTCGGCTTTCCCATTGAATGTGGGAAAATTTACTTTTTTCATTGCCATTGTAAACTTGAATAGTCATTAAATGAATGGTTATGAGAACTACCTGTAAATTTAAGGCTGTAAATTTAAAAATACTTTCTAGGCAGATCTGTGGACAATGATCCTCTTAAAGCTTATTTGTGGAATGTACTATACTTTGAAGAAATGTACGCACAAGTCTGAGCAGGAACTGGGAAAATGATGACAGGATTGCATCTATTGTCTGTATTTTTTGTAATGAGATACAGATCCTCGATTAGGGGTTCTGTCTTCTTCAGAATGTTGGAACCTGGTGTACTATGAATACCAGAATTAAATGGAAAGATTCAAGAAAAGAACAAGAAGTTCTTAGGTGATGAGCTTGGGAAAAGAGCTGGCAGTTTAGAAGTACCAGCCAAGAAAACAAAGAACTTATTTCTGAAAAATAATTGCTTTATGTCTATTAAATGTGGAGGCAAGAATGGATAGATGTTCACTACAGATTGAATACAATCATCAATCAAGAGTGAAGTGTTTTCATTACAAAAAACAAAAACAACCCCACCTAAGAATTTATTGAAATATATTCCAATGGACATGGCAAAAAAAAAAAGAGCTCTGGTGAGACAATGGTTAAAATGCAGTACAAGAAATCCTCAAGATGCAACCACAATTGAGCCCAAAATTTATGTTGCTAATGAGAAATTTGTTGTGAGTTTTGCAACATTTTGCCATTTTTATTGCCATGTTTGTTAAGTGAATCACTGCCAATGCTAAATTAGTAACATGGCTGTTAAGTGAATCTGGCTTCCCCGTTGACTTTGCTTGTCAGGAGATTGTAAAGGGGGATCATGTGATCACAGGACACTGCGACTATCATAAATGCGAGTCAGTTGTCAAATATCTAAATGTAAATCACATAACTGTAGGGATGCTCAAACCCTCATAAGTGTGAAAAATGGTCATAACCAAAGGTGGTATTCAGCAGGTTCTGACCAATTCTGGAGAACCGGTAATGGAAATTTTGTGTAGTTCAGAAAACCAGCAAATACCATCTCTGGCTGGAGGTTTTTACAGTATCCTTTCCTGCCACACCCACAGAACCAGTAGTAAAAAAAAATGAATTCCACCATAACTCACTTTTTTCAGTGCCATTGTAACTTCAAATGGTCACTAAATAAACTGTTTTAAGTCAAGGACTACCTGTATTGCAGGCTAACTCTGCCCACTGCCAGAAGTTCATTAATGATGGGGCTCAAGGTTGATTCAGCCTCCCATCCTTCCAAGGTTGGTAAAATAAGAATCCAGATTGTTGGGGATAATACGCTTTTATTTTAAACTACTCAGATTTCTGCAAAGCACTATGGAACAGTAAAAGTCTAAGTGCTATTGCTATTGCTAAAATATTTTATTTCAGTAGTAAAGAGCTAATATACTACAATACTAAATTAATGCATTAAAGTGTCTTAGGTAATGAAGGATATTGATATTAACTGTACCAACTCTTCCTATGGACTGAGGAGACTATTTAGGATGGACATACTGCTTCAAAAACTAAGGAAGTTTGTGGTGGGCTACTGCTCTCTGCTGGCCATTAAGGGAATTGTGTAGTATGGATATTTATTGAGTAAGTGCCAGCTTGATGCTGGTTGTCCGTTTCTTCTTTTACTTTTCCCAGCATTACAGATTTCTCCAGAGACCTATGTGTTTTCCAGAGTGAGCTTGGTTATAGAGGCTTTCAGTGGGATTTCTGGATTTTTTTGATAATCCATTTGTTTCCTTAAATATTAATGATATAGTCAGAAGTCTTCTCAAAAGTTTAAAAGAGTCAGTGTAATGGGGAATATCATTGCTCACCCAATTCTGATCTTGGTAAATATAAGCACTTCCCAGCATCTGAACACAGGAAGTTCTTGTTTATGAATTCTTAACTCTATCTTTAATTCAAATATGTACAGGTAATCCTCAACATTGAGCCAAAAATTTATGTTGCCAAGTGAGACTAATTTTGTGCCCCGTCTTATGACCTTTCTTGCCACAGTCGTTAAGTGAAGCACTGCAGTAGTTAAGTTGGTAGGTACTTCACTGTTGACTTTGCTTGTCAGAAGATCTTTGCTTGTTGCATGACCCTTGGACACCACAACTTTCACGTATATGAACCAGTTGCCAAGCATCCAATTTTTGATCATATTGCAGCAACAGTCATATGTGTGAAAAACAGTAATAAGCCACTTTTTTCAGTGATGTTGTAATTTTGAACAGGCACTAAATGAAATGTTGTAAATTGAGGACTACCTGTATGCAAGTTAGAATTTATATATACAAATGGGCTTTTATTAAAAGTGGCGGACAGCATTGCCTTTCTTCAAGCTGACAAATCGCTGAAGCCCTGCAGTGTTTTCATAAATTACTGAAAAGCATTGACAATAGGCTGCCTATTAAAAAACATATGACTTCGGTGATTCATAGAACACTGCACAACTTCAACAGTTCATTCACTTGAGGAACAATGCCAGCCACCTCTTTTAGTAACAGGCAGCATGTTCCTATCTAAGGGTTGTCCTTAAGTCAGACATTCTTAACTGGAGAACTACCTGTAGCTTTTTCAAGACTTCATGGCTACTCTTCCACTCTCTCCCATATAAATGATTTTAAAAGGTGGTAGTCTGTGGTACCTTCGTGAAAGTTACAGTTGCTGCAAAGCTCCTGTAGTCATTCACCCTTATGATCAATTGCAAAGATGCACCTCCACCACCCCGCCTATCTATCCTCCATTCCACCCCCCACACATTGATTACCTGCAGGCCTGCTTCCCACCCTTACAGTGCTGACCTTGGAAATGGCCCGGCAATATAGCAGCTTGCTTTGCTTTCTTAACACAAACTTTGCAGCATTCTGCAGTGCTGCAGAACACTATGGAATGCTGTTGTTGGAAGAAAAATCCTGTTGGGTTCCAAGCTGGGAGAAAGATGCAGGAGCCAATGAATTTGGAGGCAAGCTGCAGGAAAGGAGATCTCCATTTAGGAATCAGAAGCAAAGTGATTCAGCATCGGCTCTGGAACAGCTGACACAGAACCGATGCTGACTCCCTTCGTTTCTAATTCCTAAATAAATGGAGACTTCCTTTCCTACAGCCTGTCTCCAAATTCATTGATTCCTGTGTCTTTTTCCCAGCTTGGAACCCGACCAGATTTTTCTTCCCAACACTGTAAAACTCACATTAAGAAAGCAAAACAAGACACTTTGTCACTGGGCCACGTGATGTGATTTGAGAAGTGGCCATCATTTTGGCAGTCCCAAGCAATCATTTGAAAGCTTCACATAATGGCCATCAAGACTTCTGACCATAAACGGCAGGCTCCATTATATTTGTCAGTTAAGAACTACTTCTGCTCAAAACATCTGTCATACTTCCTGATAACTGCCAGCTCTGCTCCCATTAGTTTGTATGAGAAGTTAAGAGTTTGGGCACTAATGTGTTTCATAATGTGCATCACATAAACAGGATATAAAACAAATTCATGCATCTACTAAAACAGCATTAGGAGAAGTTTTTAAGAACACTAAATGAGCCCAGATCATTTATCTTCAACACTTCATGTCTTTCCTGCAGAAACATAATCTACAATCAATTGTAAGCTATAATTAAATTAGGACATCCAGTAACACTAGCATTCTGCTTCATTGGCAGCAAGATACAGAATCCTCCATGAACTCAAAAAGATTTACAGGTGGAGCACTGCCTTTTTTGCATTCCCTAAAGGCTATACATATATTTACATCCCATGCTGTTTTTTTCCATTTGGAGCTAACTGTTGTACTATTTCCTAGCTAAAAACATGCAAAGACTCAAAGATCCAGCTGACCTAGTGTAGGCTCAAGCCTACACTACGTAGAACATCCAATTGGTTACAATGAGAGAAGGAATAGGGTGTCTAAGAAATGAATTTTCATCATCTGTACAAGCCAACTCAAGTCCAGCCACAGAATTTAAATGAAGAAATTCAAAAGAACAATATATTTTGTTTGGCTAATAGAGATGATGGCACTAAGTAGAGCACTGTAGTCCGAAGGCTTGCAACTTATACAAACATATATAGAAGCAAACATGATTGAATTTTGACGGCCCAACATCTTCATGCCTAGAATTGGCATCTTTTGATAATCAATTTGACAACTCAGAGATAAGTTTTGCAAGTGGAAGTTGCAAGTTAATTCTTTTATCAATAAGCTTTTTGGTAGAGATCTAGATGAATCTGTAAGAAAAGCACATACAAAGCCAGTACGAAAAAAACGTTTGTGTCTTTGATTATGGCAATGAAAGGAAATGTGAGGGTTTTTTTCTATGTCTTGTAGAGTAATGGTAGATAATGAAGAATTTTCCAAAACAAGGGAATAATTTTAACCCTTTCCTCATTTAGATACCAATCACCTATAGTCTCACAAACACTAAACACAATAATGAAGAGCAGGTGTTTATTGGCATCTCATTCCAAGGCCAAGGAGGTCAGGCAGGGTTTCCAGGAGGTCCCATTCCTCATTTAGTGGGACTTATCGTAAGTTCCAGCTCCCTTATAAGCCCCAACATAGCCGCTGTTGTCAGTCATCTCCGCACGTCCAGCTATCCCTTTTCCTTTGCCACTTTCATCAAAGCGTTCCTTGTGAGAACCCGTGTATTTGCTGGTGTCTGTCAGTCTGTCTACTGCACCAGCTGCAACAGCTTTCTGCAAGACAATTTCACAAAGTATTAGCTGCCTGTTGAGGATGACTTTGGGGGAAGGGAAGATGATGCTAACAAGCTAATTCTAACACGGGAAATTCACAGGCCAGTATAAATGAGCAATAGGGATAAACAACAAATTAGATGTATAGCTTTTATTCACACCAAGAAGACCCACATATTGGGTGAATTTGAGGTGGCTTGGATGAGGACAACTTATATTCTGTCTTTCCCAAAGTTATTCTGGGAAAAAACTTTAATAAAGAAATCATTATGGACTTTTTAAAAAGTTCTGCACCTTATCTTAACTGTTTCTAGCACTGTGCTTTTCTGGAGGAGATAGATGGATGGATGGATGGATGGATGGATGGATGGATGGATGGATGGATGGATGGATGGATAGACAGACAGACAGACAGACAGACAGATAGATAGATAGATAATGGATGGAGGGAGGAAGGGAGGGAGACGGAGACAGACACAGAGAGAGGAGTCACTTCCTGGTCCTCGTCACTTGATTAACAGCTGACGGTGCAAAGCAAAATCAGTGAAATGCACTGGATGAAAGGTAATGTGGTTTTTTCTCAGTATCATGTGGAATATTTCCAAAAAAAGATTTTATTGGTTTTGTTTCAATGCTGTTTGGCAAGTCAGAAATAATTGGTGACAGCAATGCTACTAGTGATGATCACAAGTTTAACAATCTATAAGGGGCCTTCCTTGCAGCTATGATATGACCAGTAGCTTAGTCATAAAAAGAATTAGAAGAAATAACAGAATAACAGAGTTGAAAGGAACTTTAGAGCTCTTCTAACCCAACCCTCTACTCAAGCAGGAGACTCTATACCATTCCAGACAAATAGCTGTCTCCGCCTCTTCTTAAAAGCCTTCAATAATGGAGGACCACAACCTCTGAAAGCAAGTCAGTCAGGAAAGTGATTACTGGGAAGAAAGGAAGAGCAAGAAATGTGGAGAGAAATCAGTAGGGCATGATAGGCAGCCATATACTTTAAATTAATAAATAAATAAATTAAAGATAAGAGATTACAGTTAAAGAATGTAAGGTATCTGAATAGGTCCTGCTCAGGTATCCCTTGCAGCATCATTGATTGGCTGCATCCCTCACGTGTAGGAAGCTCTTCACTCACCGTCACTCCTACATTGCCTGGTTCCTTGCCCTCCATCAACTGGTGAGTGGCCTGTAAAGCCTCCTCTGCAGACTTTCCTTTGAAACGTTTAGTACTTAGCTCTTTTATTGCTTCTTGGAATTCTGGATATGTGATGTTGCGAGCAGTCTTGGTCCTGAGAATACACAAACACATCAACTCTGATCCTCAGTACAAGACAAACCATGAACAAGGCATCTAAAAATTTACAAAGAGAATAGTATTATAAACAACAATTATTTCAAGTCAATTATTTCATTAAGCAAGCATACGGGGTGGGGGTGGGGGGAGAGATAACTGTCCAATTAATAAAACATAGGGGGAAAAGCCCACAATTATTTACAAACAGAAGGTGGCATGTCAGGAAAGTAATTTCTAGTTCTGATGTTACTCTGCTGTAACATTCTTTACAGTAGGTTTCTATTTGCATGAAGTTCTTTTTAAGAAGCCAATATAATTAAAGGAGGACAGCGATCCCTTTCTAATGGGGAGAATGAACTTGGAAGTCAGGAGAAAAATCCACAACCTAGACAAAAGAGATTAAACACAAAAAAGAACATGAAATACTTGCAATCTTAGAAAATTGATGTCAGATTTGTGATATAGTCCAGACAAGACGTATAGGGACGAACTGATCCTAATTTATTGTAAAATTACATTAACATAATCTTGCAAAAATGAAAGCATTTCTTCCCTCCTCTTTTTTATCTTCCAGAAAACCAGGAAAACTCCCATTCAAAACACTTCTCATGCTTTTCTCCCACCTGTAAACTGAACTGCCTTATTACTCTGTTGCCTAGATTGTGGGCCTTCCTCTTGTCTCCCAAGGTCATTCCCACATATCATTACACTTCTACATAATTCTATTGAATCAGGATACCACATTATATTGCATTATTTTGCTTCCTGAGTAGATCTGCCTTCAGCTATTTATGATTACAAACATGGCTTCTACCAATTCATACTGGCAAGATCCTAGTCTCCTTCATGTCACCCCCTGGTCATTTTCAAAGCCACACAGATTGTAAATTTATGAAGCTTCATATGGGGAGAAGAAGAACATGCTACTTTAACATTGGTTCAAATAAATGAATTTAGGTGGCCTTGACTATAGGCTGGGGATGAGGAACAGACTCTGTATTGTAGACATGTCCTTAAGAAATGGCTAGCAAGGCATCTCTGATTCACAGTGAAGGGACATGACAATGTGTCTTCACTGAAACAAAATTATCTGGCTCAAAATTTAAAAAGAAGAGCAATATTGCCATAATAACTATTTACACATTAGCCTAATTGAAGTTAGATGCCTGTCGACAAATATATATACACACCAACCCTTCAGCTCACTTGACTTTATTGAAGACAATGTCCACATCAGTGCTGGTCACTGCTTTGCCATCCATTACACCACACTCTTTCAACATCTTGGAGAAGTTCTTGCCTGTCATGTCATTGCCTGTGGCAGCTGTGTCTCCATACACAGCAAATTTGCGGAAGGCTTTTTCCAGCTCTGACATCCTTCTGCACTTGGGAAAAGGAAACAAAAGGAGGAAGAGAGAGAACTTGCAGGACTTACTCATAAGTTCACTCTATCATGGCCAAAGAAAGACCAGAAGGTGAGTTAGTTGCTAATGGCACTATCAGGATTTCATAAGATGGATCTCTTTTATTGTTGAACATCTTGCTGTGAGCTAAATTCCCAAGTATTTGATTTTTTAAACAATTTGTAAACCCATTACTTCTACTAGTTTCTTTTTTGACTCTGTTAGACTTTTTATCATTTTGGATTTATCTTTATTAATTGTTAGGCTTGCCACTTTTCTGTATCTCTCTATCTCTTTATTTAAATTTGGTCCTGATTTTATTGGTTCTTCTGCGAAGAATACAAGGTCATCTTCAAAAACTGGGACCTTGTACTCTTGTTGTTTAATTCTTAATCCTTTTATTTCCAAATTCAATCTAATTCTCCTCAGCAAAATTTCTAGTGTCGAGATAAAGAGCAGAGGTGAAAGTGGACATCCCTGCCCGACTCCTTTTCCTATCTCAAATGAATTTGTAGTTTCTCCGTTAATTATTATGCATGCTTTTTGATTTGAGTATATTGATCCTAACATTTTTTCAAATTTGTCCCAAATTTCATCTCCTTTACTGGCCAAATCATAAATTGCCAATTTACTTTGTCGAAGGCTTTTTGAGCATCCACAAAATTTGTTTTTCTGGATGTGCCTTGTAGTACTCCAGAACATCTAATACTGTCGTGTTATTTTTTATTTGTCTTGTTAATAGCAAACCATTTTGATCTGGGTATATGTTTTTACTCAATATTTTTTTCATTCTATCAGCCATTATGTTCCTGAATATTTTATAATCGGCGTTCAATAAAGAGATTGGTCTATAGTTTTTTATATAAGTAGTATCTGCACCCTCTTTCAGTATTAATATAATATACGCTTCTCTCCACAATATTGATAGCCTTGCCCCTGTAAGTACTTCGTCATAGATTTCTAAAAGTATTGGATCAAATACTTCACCTAGAGTTTTATATATTTCTACTAGTAACCCATTTGTTCCGGGGGTTTTGTTTATTTTTTTGTTTGCTGATTGCCTCTTTTAGTTCCTCCTTAGTAATCTCTTCATTTAATCTTTCCCTTTCTTCTTCTGTAAGGACTGGAACATTTTTTTCCTCTATGTATTGTTTAATTTTCTCATCATGATTTTTTCTTGCTTATAAAGTTCCCTAAAATATTCCAGTACTATTTCTTTTTTCTTTGACATATTCTTCTGTACTTTTCCCTCATTATCTTGTAACTGTTGAATCCATCTTTTTTCTTTTTCCTTCCTTAATCTATAGGCAAGCCACCTTCTCGGCTTATTTGCATTTTCAAAATAATTTTGCTTTACCAATTTCAGGGCTCTTAAAAATTTTTTCTTGTTCTAGTATATTTAATCTGTGTTTAGCTAATCTACATTTACCTATAATTTGCTCATTTCCCGGTGCTAATTCTGTTTGTATTTCCAAATTTCTAATCTTGTTCTGTAATTCATTGCTTTCTCTTTTTTTTCTTTTTTCTTTTTGGCATTGTATGCTAGATAAGCCTTCGTTGTGTCCCACAGATTCTGTAAGGAAGTATGTTCTTTTATATTCACTTCATAAAACATTTCTAATTCTTTTTTTTTATTTTCTTTAAATATTCTTTATCTCTCAGAGGTAATTTTAAAAAGCCATATTGGAGAAAATATATGCTTATATATAAAAAAAGAGTCAGAATTTTGTTTTTCTACTTTGCCCATTTATAAGTGAACTCTGGTCTGGTTATGAGTGAAAACTGCTGCCAGATTCTTAAAGTCATGTCTGCTTGGAAGGTTATCTTACAATTCTTTTCAATAATTTGGGTCTAATGACTTTGATTGGAGCAGTGTTTCTCAACTTAGCAATGACTTCAACTCCCAGAATTCCCCAGCCCAGGTTGAGGAACACTGGATAGAGTATTGGGGCTTAGGCAAAGTTGAGCCGTTTTGTGGGGGGGGCAAATAAAAAAAGGGGGAAGGGGAAACCAAATTCCATGTTTGGTACCAGAAGGAAGAGGGCTAAAAATAAACCACCAATATAGTAAAAACCTCTTTATAATTTATGGTGCAACTACACTTGTCCTATAGTGTGCAATTCTGGTTGCCACATCTAAAAAAATGATATTGTAATGTTTAAAAAAAAGTGCAAAGAAAGGCATCTAAATAATTTAGGAGCTACCACAACTTCCATAGGAAGAAAGACAACAGTGCCTGAAGCTTTTTTAGTTTGGAGACAAGACATGAAAGGAGACACCTCATAGAACTATACAGTGTAGAAAAATCATCTATGATATGGAAAATTCAGATATCATTTTTTCCCCTTCCTCACAGTCATAATATGGGGTCATCTTTTAAATCTAAATGCAAGATTTAGAACTGATAAAAAGTGTACCTTTAAATATTATTATACATATTTATTTTATGGAATTTATTGATGTAAGATTTGGAGATTGTGTTAATTCAGCAGCATCCAGTGTGGTAAAAAAAGGCAAGACAGAGGAAACAGCATCACAGTCCAACCCATGATCTGCATATATATTTTAATTTTTAAAAACGTTGTAAGATAGTAACCATTCCAAGTTTACTTTGTGACTGGCAATTGGATTCTGAATCTCATCAGTCCTATTAATTATCCAATGTAAATAATCTCTCCTCAAACAACCATAGCAATACAATCTATAACTAAAATAATTTTTCTCCTATATACAAATAGCTATCCCTTTCCCATTTCTTTAATCCTCTCAAAAACCTTTGCATAACTGATATTTACAAGTTGTACAACATAATTTTAGGTACAGGCTCAGAAAGCAGTTATAGGAGCTCTGTGAGAAGCTGGCCCCAGTCTGCATATTTTCTGTCTTTGTAACTGTATTAGCTGAAAATGGGAGTGGCACAAAATGTGATGCCCTAGCTTTGAAAGTTTTGATTCAAAACTCTTTGAGTAAAGAATCAGAAAGGCACAGATATCTTTCTTTTATTGTGTGTATACCTTGACTTTCTTTAAGGGTTCATGATTGGTATCCATGGGTCTTGTTCTTTTTGTATTCATAACAATCCTATATGGTAAATTTGACAGGGAAATGTCTAAATGTAACCAAGATAAAATGCCTTCAAAACCCTTAAACATGCTAGCTTACATCTCTATCCTTTCCTTGCAGCAAGGCTGTGAAATGAAGTATAGAGGACTTTCTACCAATGATAATTGGTTTGAAGATAGACTTACCTAAATGACCTTGGGGGCCCCTGCCTTACTGTTTCTTGAGTATGTTCCTCCTAGGAAGGACAAGGCCTGCTCTGAGTTTGAACCACCAGGAGCTTAGAAGTTTACTTTACAGTGGGAATTGTGACTTTATCAAGTTGTCTATGACATCAGGGCTGATCTCATTTTGGTAATCTGATTTCCTTTCAACTACAGATGGCCTGTGGTAAGAAGATTGATTAGCTTCAAAAAAAAAATCGCATTTTAGAACCAGCAACATATCGTTTCCAGGAAGAGGCTGGAGAAAAGTCACCATGATGAAATAAGATAACTCATCCATAATTGTTGCATGACCATGAGATAGCATTTTGACAAATTATACAAAGATCTGCATGCTAGCTTTAAAACTTTGAATATTAGTATTGATGCAAAATAAATTCTGATTCCTTTCAAAGGGAGAGAGAGAGAGAGGATTTTAATTATCTGTGTATATAATTATTTACAGTGGTTTATTTTATTTTATTTTATTTTCTGTAATAAGAGGTTTGAGACAGTTAACCTGAAAAATATGAGAGAAGGAATATAAATAGGGAAGGAGGAGGGAAAATAAATAAAATGAAATTTATTTCATTCCCCTCATCTTTTTTTCCTTACTTGCCAATAAGGAGCCCAGTTTATATCAGTGGTTGTCTCACTCATGTGCCAGAATTAAGACAGAGGACACCAGACAAAACTATTCCAGGATAAGTGGTAGTAGCTTTAACCGGGAGCAGGAAAATAGGGGCAGAGATTTATAGATCTAGAGAGCTTGTGGGAGAGGAAGCAAAAATCCTCCATCTTGCAATCCTTATCTGCTCAGACCTATTGCTACAAAAGGCTTAAACTACTGCTACCATACTTGCCTACAATATCCAGATGGCAGAAATATTTTTTTTTAAAAAATCTTAATTCTTTGCTTCTCTCCAGAAGTTATCCAGAATTTTGCAGCCGAAAGCTGCATGCCCTATTTAAAATTTGCAAAAACTTCATGTTCATAAAATAACCCATTCACTCCCACAAGTAACTCTAAGGCTATAAGATAGGGAATTGGGTTAAGAACAGGCAATCCATGATGTAAGCAACTGACTGTGGCTACTAACACACCAACATCTGGAGAGCCACTGGTTCCTAAAGTTAAGGGGCTTGGAAATTTCTCTATATTACTATTGGTTTTCTTTATATATATAGCCATATTTTCAAAGATAGAAGTTAACCCAGCTTCTTTCCCAGAGCAATGTCTCAATGCTTGCAAACCTACTTGTAAAAAGAAAATAATTGGTTAATTGATTAAAATATGGTTGATAGTCAGTATCTTCTATTAAGCCCTCTGAAATCTCATAACCTACTATATTGATATGCAAAGTTCTGAAGACAAGAACCAAGTATAGTTTCCTCTTCTCTGTGATGGCCAAATATGCCTGGTTGTCAGAGATATTCAACTTTGCTTATGTATGATCAGAAATCCTGTCTTTTGGGGAGGGCAGAGCTGGTATCGCGACGATACGGCATGCAATCGCTGCCGATATCTTTGCTCCTGGAGAATCTAAACAGATCTAAACCGTCCCGAAGAGACGGTGAATATAAAGAGCACATCCTGCCGATCCCAGGGATACTGCAAAGTCCCTGGTAGAACCAGGAAAAGCTCTTTTTGCCAGCAGCAAAGAGGCAGACATTAAAGCTGCTGAAGTTGGAACAGCTCCGAAACGGAAGAGAATGGAA